CGTGGCAAGGACGAACACAAAGAAAAGGCCACTTAGTTGAGGCCCTCCACGTCGGACTCGGGGTTGTGTAACGAGCGCCGACGAAACCTCATCTGAAAACGGGATACCACGTGTGTACCCGCCCCCTTTCACGTGAAACGAAGAACGACGGCTCGTTGGGAAGTCCAGCGATACTTTTTGGATTGAATTTCCCATAGCTGTGAGCCTCGCGGGCGCCTTTTTCTCCCTTAAAACCCCGCGGCGACGGACCTTCTTCTTACTACAGTCGGACCAACACGGGGGATTTCAGTTTTGTCTGTGTCCCCGAACTCAATTTTCCAAAAATCCTTGGCACACCCCATCTTTGCTGTCTTTCTCGGGCCCCTTTCCGGCAGTGCAGGACATGAGGTTGAGCGGTTGTCCAATGCCAGAACGATGTTGGCCGGTGCTGGGGTGTTACCCTGTAACCTCCCGATGCAGGAGTGTGAGGCCTAGTAGAGAGATTTGGGGATGCGTTGCGGTGGGCATTCCAAAGGACAACCAAGGGTTGCTGCTGGGACGACGCTGGCCAGAGCTGGGGCGAGTCTCGTTGCCCTATAACCCAGCAGGGTGGGGGTGTGAGGACTGGAGAAGCTCAGCAAGGAGTAGGACAGTGCTGGAGGGTGGATCCCTAGCAACCCTTCTAAAGCCCTCCAGCATTGTCTTACTCCCTGCTGAGTTCTTCCAGTCCTAACACCTCCACCCTGCTGGGTTACAGGGCAATGCGACTCACCCCAGCTATGGCCACATTCGTCCCAGCAGCAACCCTTGGTTCTCCTTTGGAATGCCCACCCCAAAGCATCCCCAGATCTCTACCACGCCTCACACTCCTGTTGTCAACAGGTTACAGGGCAAACCCCCAGCACCGGCCAGCGTCGTTGTGGCATCGAAAAACAACAGATCCATGAATATAACTGCATCAAAGAAGCCTAAAGTGAGTTGTAAGAACTACCCTGAATCCATTTTCAAGACCACTCAAACAAAATTCACCCTCATTCCTCCAACCCCCTACTTTTCTTCATCCCTCGACGAGCCGACCTCCTCCACCACATAGTTCGCGGGATGAGAAAACCAGCCGCACCCACACAATGGACACCTTCCTCAACTATTCCTCATCTCACGACGAGCCGACCTCCTCCACCCATAGTTCACAAGACAAGGAATAACAAAGATCAGGTGAACTCACCTTACCCTCACTCAATAAGCACAACACTACACTTCATCGCAAACCATCAGAAACCATCCTCCCTCTTCCCTTCAACCCCCTACTCTTCATCATCTTCCGACGAGCCGACCTCCTCCACCACATAGTTCGGAAGATAAAAAATATTAGATAAACAACCTAACCCAATCCCTGACTACAACCATTTATCTTTCTTCGACGAGCCGACCTCCTCCACCACATAGTTCGAAGAAGAAAAATAGAAGTAGTCCCAAAATCAGTTTAACGAGCCAGCGACAATCAAAGGAACCCTCCTCCCTCTTCCCTTCACCCCCTACTCTTCTTCATCCCCCGACGAGCCGACCTCCTCCACCACATGCCGACCTCCTCCACCCATAGTTCGCAAGAGGAGGAAAGGCAGAAATCAGGTGATCGCCCTTACCCTGATAAGCTCGGCACCAACCCCTCTAACCTCTTACCTCACTTCAGCAAGACTTATAACAGCTAAGCCACCATCTCAGTTGCGGCTATGCCCTAATCCAATTCCACCAGCCATAAACCATCCCTCCCAACCCAAGTACCACACATCCTCAAAACACTTGGCCCGCGAACAACGAAAAAGAAATGGGTATCCAATCGAAAATTCCTCAAGACACGAAATACGAATTCAAGTTCAGAAACCTTTTGTTTACCAAACTTAGAATTGGATCAAAGTTGAATAAACAGAATCAGGATTCAATTCGACAGTAATCAAGACTAGAAAGATAAGATTTACAAACAAAGGAAGGTTTTCAAATAGAAATTTACTTCGGATTCCTACTTTTAGAAATTGAACAGAAATTGGACACTGGAGACAAGATTTAGAAATCAATCTGAAAACATCTCTTAGAAATTAAAATTTGTGAAATGAGAATTGAGAATTGAGAAATCAGTCTGAGATGTCCAATATTGGACTCACGAATTTATAAAATCAAGAAAGTAATTCCGCTCGTAATTATAAGATTATTCTGAGTTATGAATCTGTCCGACTAGCAGTTCTGAATAACGATTAGCACGAGTATTGGACACCTAGGATTTGGATATTGCTGCGCAAAGTTATTTCAGAATTATTTTCAAGAATAAGGAAATAAGAATTTTTAATACCAAAAAAATATTACAGCATATCCTATCTATAAGGGATTACAAATTGAGGTCGCTAACAGTGAATCATAAGACTCTCAGATCGAGGCACAAAAACGGTGATATCGACTATCCAGACAACCATCTAAGAAAAGACCTACAAACTTAAGCGAGCACATGTCGATAAAAGCAACCATTCAGCAAATCATCACCCTCCCCTCTTCCTCCACAGCCCCCATCATACCACATCCCCCTCAAACCCTACCCCAATATCTTCGGAGATGCAAAACACCCTTCCTCCCATTGCTAGCAGCTAGGCTCAAAGCGACGCTAGCACCGAAGACCTCGACGGCCGTCTTCCGTTTCTCAAAGAAAACCAAAAAACAGTGTGGCTCCTCTCACTAAACCCATTAGGAAGGCACCACAGGGGATTTGAACTTCCATAACCGTCCACTTACCTCGTTGTAGAAGAAAAGAGGAGAGGATTCGCCTGAAAAACGATGTCGCAGTCATCCCACGGCGCACCCTCCGATCAACTATGCTCCATCATCCCGAGGCGCGCCCTCCAATCAACTGTGCGCCATGACCTCCGCGCGCGTCAACTCATTGTTGCTTCAGTTGTGCTCCGTGTCGACCCTTTGTTGCTTCGACAGGGGCGCAACCACTTACCTCGCTGTTGAAGAAAAGAAGAGAGGAGACCTCACAGTTTTTCCTTCAGCACGCCCACAAGCAAAAGAGTGTGTTCACTCGCCTGAACAGCGATATCGCAGCCATCCCACGGCGCACCCTCTGATCAGCTGTGCTCCACCCTCCCACGGCGCGCCCTCCAATCAACTGTGCGCCATGACTTCCACGCGCGTTAACTCATTGTTGCTTCAACTGTGCTCCACGTCAACTCCTTCTCTCGCCTCGCTTCCTTGCGTCGTCGGCCATTGCATCGCCTTGCGTCTTCGCCCACCGCGTCGCCTGGCTCTCCAGTAGACCCCGCGTCGCACCGCTTCGTGTCCGAGATGCTCCGGAGGGGGCGCAGCGCTCCCGGTCGCGCTGCGCCCCCTCCTTCTGTCAGAGGAGGATCTCATCTCTTCGAAATGACTTTGTTTCGAAGCCGGCCCATCCGACACCTGCCCATCGGACACCTTTCGAAACTTTTTCGAAAGAACTGGTTTCAAAAGGCTGTGGCGAAGACACGGCCTGGATTTTGCGCATTTCGAAAGCCTGTGTGGCGGAGCCCCGTAATCCAGCCTCTACAAAAAAAAAAAAAAAGAGAGAAAACTAGGGGGCGGTCAGGGTTAGAGTTTGAAAATACATTTCAAACTGCGGTTTTGGAGCCCAGTCCCCTCTGAAGTTTACACTGCAGGCCAAACTCCGCCTTCGCGTGGCTGTCGCAGGGCAGAGTTTGTAACTGCAGTCTAGTCATCCACGTGGAGGGCAGGGCAGAGTTTGGGTCTGATCCCACCACTACACTAATGTCACACACGCATGTGGACCTCGGACGTTCCTAACGGGCTGGACGGACAACTGAAAAAAAAAAAACACAAAAAAAAAAATGTTCCCTCTTTTTCGCGGCCGTTGTGCCCAAACCGTCTACACAAAAAATGTATTAACTTTGCTCGAGCCCTTCGGGGGCGTGCTGCCACGACATTCCGACACGAAATGCGTGCAAAATATTTCGGCGAACTGGGATCCCGAAACTACAGTGTAACACGCTGTGGGATCCCAAAACTAGTGTAACTGGGCTGTAGTGTAGTGGTGGGATCAGACCCTTTGTAACTGCAGTCTAGTCATCCACGTCGGAGGGCCATGCCGTTTTCCAACAAAGAAAAGAAGAAAAAAGAAGAAAAAAAAAAAGATCGTGGCCCTGTATCTTTCCATGTTCTACAGAAAGATTCACTCTCGAATGTGCAAAACGAGAGTGAATCTTCTCTAGAAGATGGAAAGATACAGCTCCTTGATTTTTGTCTTCTGTGCAACGGGAATACAGGGGCCCAGCGGGATACACGGGCTGACAGCATGCAGAGGCCCTAGGGGAGGCGCATGCTGACAACAACCCAGATTCTTTTCTTTTTTTTGTCTCTTTTTTTTCCCTTCTTAGATTTCCCGACCTATGCGTGTCATCCTTGGGGCCTCGTGGCGGCATCTTTCCATGTTCTAGCGGAAGATTCACTCTCGTTTTGCCTGGCTCCACTACTTTCTGAATGTGCAAAACGAGAGTGAATCTTCCTGTAGAACATGGAAAGATACAGGGCCATAATTTGTGTCTTTTGTAAAAAAAAAAAAAAAAAAAAAAAAGAATAGTGGAGCCTGTGCTTCGGGACATCCGTTAAAATTGGTACGATACAGAGAAGATTAGCATGGTCCCTCCACAAGGATGACACGCGTAAATAGAGAATAGTCGAGCTTGGACACCTGACTTTCGAGAGAGAGAGAGAGAGATGACACACGCACACACACACACACAGAGAGAGAGAGAGAGAGAGAGAGAGAGAGAGAGAGGCAGCGACGTTGGACACCGTAGGCAGTCAGATACGGGTCCGAGAGACAGAGAGGAAGACAGAGAAGCTGAGGCCGCTGTAGCGCTGTATGCAAGGGATAAGAAGAGGGAGGAGAGTGGTTCCGACACGTTACTGACGGACTCATTTGCCTTGAACAGAACCATTTGAGCTACTATCTGTTTAGATCTATCCGCGAAGAAACACAAAATCGCAACAGACGTGGTTGATTCCCAGGCAACAGCCGCTCGTGAAGCCATAATGATAATTCGCTTTTTCATCCAAAACCGACTTTTTCGTTATTTCAAATCCAATGCACGTCTTGTTTCTGGCTCAACAAAAAACATGTCAAAGCAGACAATCTCAGAATTCGCACTCTGCTCACCCTGCTCCTCTTCATCGACACCCATCCGTAATGTAATGTTCCCTAGAATGCCACGTCACCACTCGATCCCCCACATGCCACGTCACGACTCGATCCCTCACATGCCACGTCACCACCGCTCCTTTCCCTATATCCCATGTTAGCACCCATTGATTCCCTACAAGCCACCTCAGGACGAAAAAGACCGAACGGACTCTACACCAATTACCATAACAAAAGGGTTGAAGGAGGGGGGAACAAGGAGGAAGAACGCCTTCGCCTTCTCTTATAAAGCCAAAAAGACTTCAAAAGAGAGAGAACGCGGGAGTATCCTTATTTTGGACAACCCTCTCAGGCAAAAGCGACAGAAGGCGATGGTTTCATTATTTCCGACAGTCCTCGCACGAGTCCTTGATGTAGGAAGCGAGATCGGGCGACTCGAGGACCACCCCGACTCGAGGCCGCTTCTTGCAGAACCGCACCCCATTACTCCCGTCCATAATCCTGCCAAAGTACACGTGTTCCACTCTCGGTCTCCCTCCGCTCGATGTCACATAATTTCCCGCGAATTGACAATTGCAGAAAATACCCGACCCATCAAAACCCAATCTAACGGCACCACCCGAGTTCTTCACAAACGAAGAGCGAATGAACTTCGCGCCCCCTTTAGACACGTCCACGGCACCTCCCCTGTTGGCCTCGAACCTGCACCTTTCGCCATCCACGCCTCCTTTATAGAGAGAGATCAACGACCCTCCTGTGTTCGATCGAAAGACTACACCCTTCAGATCCACGTTAATATACTCGCCGCCGATCAAAATGCCGTTGTTACCAGTAAACGTCGAGCGTTCGAACCTCAGCTCATACGCGCAGAACAAGAAACCAGCCACGCTGTTTTTGGTGACGAGGCAGTTGCGGACCACGATAACCCCCTGGATGGTGGCAATGGGATGACGGAAATTGGTGAGATGGAAGTTCACGAGTTCGAGGCCCGGCGTTACCCCGTTCTGACTCGTCGCACTGAATCCTGAGAACTTCTTTCCGGCGTCGATCTTGCATGGTCTCCATCGTCCGTCACGTGTCCTGCAGTTGCCCACGACCGTCAGATTGGGGCAGGTCATGGAGGGAAGGTCAGACGTGAGCAGGATGTCAGATGTCAGTAGGAGGACCGTCTTGTTAAGACTCGTCACCGCCGCTCGCAGCCTAGCCTCAGGTCTGGTGGGCCTCGCTGCGGCGAGCGCACGGCGTGTCTCTGTCGCCGCCGCCACTCCCTCCGAGGCTTTCACCCCGCCGGCGCCATAGCCGCCCGAGCTCACCAACACTAGCAACAGAACCGCCACAAGCGGTGGGCAGGCCGTGCGCCTTCGCAAAGTCCGGTATTCTCCCGCCATAGCCGCAGGCAAAAAGCAAACAGGACTGCGCGGGGAGGGGAAAGAGAGGCGCAAAAGAGAAGGAACAATATTTCAGACCTCGCGAAACGTAGGAAAAATAGCCAGCCGTGGGCATTGGAGGAAGGGAACGAGGAGGTAATCCCGCGGCCTAGCTCAGTTGGTAAGGCATGCAAGTGGCATTCAGGAGGTCTTGGGTTCAATCCCCACCGGCCTCATGTACCTTCCTGGGCAAAGCTTGGTGCCCGCCACCTAGAGATATGTCGTTGGTCCCCCCAAGTGGCAGAGACTGCTGATGTTCATAGGGGGAGGGGACCGGAGGCGAGGCACAGTGACTGGCCCATTGAAGAAGCTTGGTCCTGATGCTACCGGCGGACCCCTGGCCGGTACAGCCCACCTGCTGGTGGGTGCAGCTCCCGCATGTTCCCTCGTTGGAGGCTTGAGCACGGATGTGGCTGCTACGGCTCCCCGTAATACTACAATGACAATAAAAAAGGCCTGTAAGGCCGTCCTGTCCAGATTTGACAGATGATTGAATTGGTTGGGCTTAAAGAATTTGCCTTTTAAAAAAAAAGAAAAAAAAAACACGAGGTAAGGGAAATTAAAAACAAAAAAAAATAAAAAATGCAGCCTTTCCAGTGCCCAAGGCGTAACACATCATGAAAGAAGTTCCGGGGCCAAGTCCGTTGACCACTAGCATTGCTCATGTTCCTGTCTTCAGAACTACGACAGCGGGTGGCGTTGTGCGGCCTTATTTTCTCCGTGGTAGGTCTCTCTGCCTAGCCCGAGTGCCTGCCACGGCTGTCTGGGGGGTGGGGGTCCGCCAGGGCAAAAATGATAAGAGGAAGGGTGGGTGGGGTCTTCAGAGGGATTCAGCTGGACAACCGAGTGGCCGAGTACTGTGGGTAACTGTCATTGGTCTAGTATCCCACCTCAACAACAACCTGGGCTTTTTCAAAAAAAACAAAAAAAAAAAAAACTATCAAAGAGCCTCGTTCCACCACTCGCCATCTGCCACGAATCCTGGCGAGTCTTGGCGAGGCCGAGAACATGAAAATCGTGGCGGAAAAGAACGCATGGTTCCATACGGTCGCCCCTGCCACACGAGTTGTGGTAACCGTCCCGGCCTCAACAATGCACTGTGGCGGATGGCGGAGTGGTGGAAGGGTGCTGGCGTTTTGCCACATCACCACACCAGGCTCGAAATGTGCGAGATGGGAATGAACTTACAGCTAGAACATGGCCAGATGCGCCCGCTCCTTTTTCACATTTTGAGGGTGGTGTGGTGAGGCCCCAGAAATTCACACCACGCTAGGCGAGAACTCGCCTGCACTACGGGACAAGCAGGCCAACTGCCAGGGCCGGTTGCCACACATAGCAGTTCGCGGAGGGGTGACCATTGCTGCCCTCCACGAAAGCCCATTGCAGGCGGGGGTATACTGAGGCTGTGGCTACCTACCGCCACGTACCTTCGGACCGAAATTCTGACATAGATGGTTCTGTGGCGATCGGTGACACAATGGAACGAAGTCGTGTTCGCCAGGTGTGGCGGATGGCGAGTAGTGGAACGAGGCTCAAGTATTCCAGCTGTGTAGCGCTCTTACAGTTCTTCCACATGGAGACAAAAATAAAATAAAAAACGGAGAGGAAGCTGCCCCCGTCATCGCCGGGTATAGAGTACGAATCAGGGCCTCGTTCCACTAGTCGCCATCCGCCACGATTTATCGTGGACTGTGGAGCTTTGCGAAATGGCACTTTCGTGGCAGAAAACGAAGCATGGTTCCATTTCCTCGCCGCTGCCATCCGCAATATGATAACTATCCCGGCCGATTGTGCTTTCGATGGCGGATGGGGGGTCAGTGGAACAATGATGCTGTAATGCCACAGCGGCTCTACGGGCCCGCCGGGGTCACCGGCACCCCGGGCCCGGACATCGGAATGTCCGTCCAACAAGTAGTGGGACAAACCGGACACTCGACCCGGGACTGGGCAGCATGATTCCCCGGGGCAAAATTTCGTCCACACTTTGAGACAACCCAGGCTGTGCGTCAAACCTACAGTGTCAGAGGTGTCCGCCACAAGATGCGAGTCGCGGAGAGGTCACTCCTAACACCCTCCACAAAAGTGTGTGACAGGCAGGAGAAACGAGAGGCCTTGGCGAGGAACCGCCATGCACACTTTTTCGCATTTCTGACAGACATCGTTTCGTGGCGGTTGGTGACGTAGTGGAACGGTGGCAAGGTCGCCATGCGTGGCGGATGGCAAGTAGTGGAACAAGGCCCTTGATGGGCCCAGCTCCACTGAGCTCGACATTCACAAAAGACAAAACATATGGAAGTGTTGTGATGCCCAACCTCGCGCCAGGCGCGACTTCCTGATCTGAGTGTGAGTGGGCCTGGAAGTGCGAAAAGGGGGGTGTGCTAAGGATTTTAGGAAAGTGGGGGTGGAGTCCCAGGTCGAAACTAAGATCTCCTGTGGCAAGTTCATGGATAGGAATGCAAGAGGATATGCGCGGGTCGAAGTCTGTTTCTATGCTTCTGAGCGTGGGGCTACCACCTCTGTTGGCTTCGTCCTCTGGGTCGGGCTCGTATTTGGTGCACGGTCGGGACGCTATGGCTACCGCGCTGTCCGACCACTTGTTGGCGTCGTGCATCACTAGTCTCACAATCCGACGCGGCTGGCCTCAGTCAAAGGCTGTGCGCCCGTCGTTTTTCCTCCGAGCAAGTTCGTCGGATGAAACCGAAGGCTCGGTATTTGTGGTCTTGCAGGCACTCCGATCACGGGGGTTGGAGCTAATACGGAGCGATTGTGCGCCAGGGAATGATGGTCAGCGAATGGAAGGGCAGTATGAGGCGGTAGGGAGGGAAGTCGGTTTCCATAATAATTACTCCCGGTTCCACGACAAGGTGACACAGATACGAGCTAGGGAATTTGGGGTGGTGAGGAATGCGCTCTCGAGCTCAGTCGATGTCCCGCTCGCACATACACTCGTTTTCCACTGGGTATGGAAACTCAGGAAGTTTTCTTCTCGGTCGTGCAAGCAGACACTCAATACTCTCGAAATTCCGAATCCCTCAAACACTCGCGGTCAGTAATACGAGAAGGGAGTTCAATATTCATGTTGTGGGGGGAGGCGAAAACTCAGTTATTCGAGAAGTTGGACCGGGTGCAGGCACAATAGACATGCGTGTAGGTCGTGTTCTCCTGATCGGGCTTAGACTTGCGTGCATAGGGCCCGCCCTTCAGTCCGATGGACAAGACCAATGACCCACGTCTTGTACGCGGTGGCCAGTTAATCGAGGGTGAATAACCTTATCGTGAGACACGCATCTGATCGTCTAGCATGCTTTCCTAACTTCGGCAGACAAACACTCATCATCCATACGTCCCGTCTTATGCCTACATGAACCAAAAGAAGGTGACAATCATTCATGCATCGATCAGTATAGACAAACACATAAAAGATATGGAATGTCGTTCGAAGAAAGCAAAAGCGATCTACGCCATATGTTAAAAGTACTCAAAGGGATAGAAGAAGAACCACACAACATCATCCTTTCAGTGAGGCAGTCATCTAATAAACTAAGTCTACCATGCCCTATCCTGTTTGTACATAGATAGAACCACCCCTATCATCCATACAAAACACGCACGGTCCAATCGTCGGGGATCAATCAATTAGATCCATCAATCCAAGAGGACAGAGAAGGGGAGGGAAAGAGGACAACCATTCATCAACACCCGAGGAGAGCAAACGAAAACATACACATCAACAGAAAAGAGCAAATAACAAGTCCGAATGTCGATCCAAAAAGGAAAAAGAGAGGCGACTCCCGCCGAATACCAAAATTGTTCAGAAGGAAAGAAGAAGATTCAAAAGTGGCTTAGAGGGATGGAAGAAGAAGCTCATCACACAATTCTCGTCTCTCTCTCTCTCTCTCTCTCTCTCTCTCTCTCTCTCTCTCTCTCTCTCTCTCACCGTCATAAGAATAAATGGAACATTTTTTTTTTTTTTCTCTCTCTCTCTCTCTCTCTTTCTCTCTTGTGGGAGCTCTTAGTCTCATTGATTTGGCTACCTTAGGCTTGCGTTCCCCGCGTCCACGCGGTAAACGATTTGTCAGCGGCCTGGGGGGCTGCAGGGATGGACATTTTGCTACCACCTTGATAGGTGGTGGCAAACTTCGCATCCCTAAGGCTGCGGTATAGTGGGCTTTCACGTCTGTGTCAAGGTGTCGCATTTTCGGCGGCGGGCGACCAGGACACAAAGTGGGTTCTTAGGGGGCAAAAAAGTTTGGGATACCGGTCCTTGGAAAAATTGCGGACTACCTACAACTAACTCTGGTAGAACCGGGACTTTTGGAAAAAGGAAGGACCGGTCCTCAGGTGGAAGCGGACCCCAAAAAGAAGTGGGGGGCGTTGGACTGGTCCTCGGGTGAAAGCGAACCCCAAAAAGAAGTGAGGGTATATGAACTACAGAAGGGTCCTCAGGCCCAGGTGTTGAGGCCCGTCTTCTCAAAATAGGGAGGTTAGGCGCAACGAAACAGACATTTTGCAAGAGGTCACTTTGGCGATTTTTTGTAGTCGGAGGAACCCGCAGAAAAATCTGAAATTTTGAGAATCCATAGATGAGGTCGCGTTCTTTTTAGGAAAAATATTATAACCTTTTCGAAAAATCATTTAGACCGTGAAATAATTGTAGCGCCGGTTCGGCACATTTTCCATTTTTGTCACTCAGCCATATGTNCTCTCTCTCTCTCTCTCTCTCTCTCTCTCTCTCTCTCTCTCTCTCTCTCTCTCTCCCCTTCTCTCTCTCTCTCTCCCCTTCTCTCTCTTCTCATCACCCTGATGTGCGCAGTTCGTCGCCTCGCACCCACACAGAGTTGTCACTCCGCTTGATCCAAGCATGCAAGCCAAGTTCGCCTACATGCCACAATCCGTCGTGGTCCCACGTCAACCCCGCATGCTTAGCATCAGCTCGTCGGATCGCCCAACTCTCTACTCGCCTGTCAGCTTTCGCTCGTTAGTTGATTCTCTCGACCACGCTAACTTCAA